CCTGGCCTAAAGAAACCCTCGAGGGTTTAGGGTTTAGCCAAACCCTAAACCCAGGCCCCCGCCACGGCCGAAGAAACCTCTACTCTCTTCCCAAAACCCAACCCCCAAACCCTAAACCCCAAACCCTAAACCCCAAACCCTAAACCCTAGCCCCCAAACCCCGACCCGCAAACCGCAAATCCTACCCGCGAACCCAATCCGCACCCGCAGTCCCCAAACCCTCGCCGCAGCCGCAGCCGCAAGCGCCCAAGCCCAAACCCTAAACCCTAAACCCTACTCGGAGGTTTGCGCCCATGGCCTCGAGGGTTTTGAGGGTGGACAGGTGGCCGTTGGCAGCAGCGTGGAAGGCGGGGGTTCTCTGGTGTCTGTCCAGACACTCCAAAGGAGCTCCGAATTCAATTAAAGACAAAACTGCAAAAGTCCTTCCGCAGTGCGCAGCGAGGTGAATCGGCTCGTTGTAGTTCGCCGACTCTGCAGCGCAAACCCTAAATTAGGGTTTAGGGTTTGGGGCCTGCGGCTTGGGGGTTGGGGGTTGGGGCTTACGGTTTGGGGTTTAGGGTTTGGGGTTTAGGGTTTGGAGTTTAGGGTTTGGCGTTTGGAATTTAGGGTCTGGGGTTTAGGGTTTGGGGTTTAGGGTTTAGGGTTTGGTGTTTGGGGGCTAAGAGCAGCAGGCCGCAAGGCGCACGCAAACACGCGGCCTGCGGGCTGGGGGACGAGGGTTTAGGGTTTAGGGTTTAGGGTTTGGCAGGCTGCAGCACGCACCCCTGGCGGGCAGCGACTGGAGTTTAGGGTTTAGGGTTTAGGGTTTAGGGTTTAGGGTTTACCGAGCGGCCCGCGGGGTGAGAGTTTGTGGGCAGTGAGGAGGCGCTGCAGCGTGGCCCTGGAGCCGCCCATTGCTGCTGCATGCACTAAAGTGCCTCGGCCTTGCTGCAGCAGCAGCAAATCAGCAGCAGCAACGCTGCAGCAGCGCTCCAGCAGCAGCAAACAGCGCAGCTTGCCTTGGCAGCAGCAGCAAAACAGCGCCTGCGTCAGCGCATGCAGCGACACGCTGGGGTTTAGCATGCGGCACGCAGCCCCTGCTGCTGCTGCTCCCCCGCTGCTGCTGCTGCTGCTGCTGCTGCAGGAGAAGACGCCCCCTGTGACGG